CCTAAGATTATATTGGGGCCTCCGAGGGCTACACAGTTACCTGAAGTCTTTCAGGATGCTACCTAAAGGGTTACCATAACATCCTAAGATTAACAAATCTTAGTCTGGACGGCAGACCACACATACCCTGTTCAACATCCAGAGAAGTTATTATCAGGGAACCAGTAAAGTCTACACCAGCCAGTTATAACCTCCAGTCGTATGGTAGGTAGGTAGGTAAGTTGTACCCCACCAGGACATCACACAAGCGATAAACACCCGGTGACACAAAGTGCCACCATGCGGATGAGGATCACCAGTAGAGAGGTCCTGGAAACCCCTTTCAGCTGTTAGGTCATATTTAAGGCCTGGTATATTTAGGGCCCCCGGAAAAATTCAGGGTGGGGTTATTAAATAACTAAAAATTGAATCCCACACGAGAATAACGAATAAAAATGATAAGAGCAGTCGTATGCCGGTAGGGACAACACTGTAGTATAGCACATGGGACCTGTACTGTACTTCCGTTGCTGAAAAAATATGTTTTATAATCAACATTTTACTTGCATGTGGAGCATTTGTTTATAAATTTCATATAATTTCAAGCGTATAATATTTGTCATTCAGCACGGAATAATCCTCTTATTATTAGGATAATTCCGCAATTAAAAAGTAAAGGATCCTTTTGCACGCCTTTAGGCGTATTGGGTATATAGGGCCGTCGGCACTTGGTGGGTGATGTGGTCAGCATCACTCAGGAATCCTTTACTTCACAGGACAGCACCTGGCACCCACCCAAATTGCCCAATTGAGCTTAAAAAAAATTCTGAGTCTCCACAGCCCCGCACCCCAAACATCCATCACAATTGTCTAGTGGCTGGGAGCGGGAACACGGGCTGTGAGCCTTGTTTAACTGGTGCAATAATTATGATAATAATTAGTACAATAAAAAAAAGTAATTTGTGTTATCTTATATTTGTCCCCCCCCCCCCCACGTTTTCTTCGTGTGCGCGCGACAATTTTCACACATCAGTTTAAAAAAAAAAACACCGCTAAACTGTAAATTAACACAATGCACCATGTCAATAAAATGTGTGTAGTGACACACTTTTCGGTTCTTTATACGATGGTCTCCCCATTTGCACACCACCGGTTGTATGTTAACTCCATTGATAAGTTGTTTGGACTAGTCTACCGTGGTCGAGGTTATGGGTGTTGCAGTCTGTTGTTGTCTGGTATACACGTTCTTATTTCCGAGAAAGAGATAGTCTGTGACACAGGTTTTGTCACTCTCTAGGGGGTTGTGTGTTAGACCCAGTATATAAATGTTTTAGAAGTGTTAAAAGCTTTGGCATGGTGAAATATACAACACACGGTATGAGCGCGAGTGCGGAATATCCCGGTGACCTTGTGTGAAAGTAGGATCGCTCGAGGGCGACCTATTAGAATTGAGGTGGTCAGTAGCTCGTCCAATCAGAAGCGAGCTAGTGTGTAGCGGTGTGCAAATGGGAAGACCAACGTCAAATTTACCAACAGTTGACCATTAATTAAAATATATCCTTTCATTAACGTCGACCTATTTTAATATCACAAAACTAGAGTGATTTGCAAGAATAAGATTACTGTATCAACTATAGCATTTACATTCAGTAACGGTCTATACCCTTACAATCGGTCACAATTGATATAGAGAAAAAAAATAATAAAGAAAACATCTTGTTTATGTCATAGGCGTGTGATAGACTCACGCACTTGTGATAAGTAAAAACAATTAGACAATGTATTGATTGGCACTTACAGAAAGAAGTAGAAAGATAGAACATATTTATAGTAGTAGATCAATCAGCACTCCATGTGTAATGTTGTTAACATTAGGTTTGCTGCATTTATTTCCCCAAAATAAACAAAAAGTACAAGCATTAGAAAATGTGAGAACGAATTAATGCCTGTTATAATTCAGATTGAAGGAATACGATACCGTTGTTCAAATTATTGCTGTACTGTGTATGTTACCGGCTGTATTTTGTTTACTTGTTTTCCGTTCACAGTTTTTAGCATTTTGCAAAAACATTGACATTCAATGGCAAGCATGGCTTCTCTGACACGCAGTTTGACTTTGGCCAGACGACTGGTTAGCATCCATTATTAGTTATTATTATGATGTTTTGTTATATCGAGGGCTTCTTTCTTGTGTGCCAGTGCTCATAACAGAATGTTTAAAAAAAAGTGCCACTACCACAAAGTGTTTGCAGAAGAGTGTAGCGCCGCAAAGCCTACCCTACCTATGGCCCGTGCCTAAAATCTTGAGAAAACGGAAACAGTGTCTAAGTAAATGAATGTACTACCAGTACCGGTGCTGCACACTCGTGCGTCACCACCAGGAAAAAAAAAAAGCCATCGTTACATACTAAGTTATTATTTTGTGGAAAACACGCTGGCATAGTGAAGTGATTCCACACAGTCCCACCCATATAACCATCTGGTGACCCATTGTGTTGACAGTGACAGTTGGTAGTCTTCTTCTCTTCTTCTTCACTTCCTCTTTTACCGCTGTGGGTGTCGAGGGGGATATAAGGTTCTGTTTCTAGCTATTCTGGCCGCCTCGACCATAGGCACATCATGCTGTTGTAGAGTTTCTCTGATGTTATCCTTTCACGTTGTTCTTGGTCTACCTCGCGCTTTACGTCCTTCTAATTCCATGTATGCTTTGTATGGTATGGTGTCACAAGGCATTCTCTCTAAGTGGGCAAACCATTTCACTTGCTGTCTTCGTATGTAATCCAGAATTGGTTCTGTGTCGACTTTTTCTCTTATGATCTCATTCCTGATTTTATCTCTTATGGTCACTCCTACAGCCCTTCTCAGACATCTCATTTCCGTGGTTACTAATTTTCTTTTATGGTTTGTTGTGAGTGACCATGTCTGGCACTGGTAGCACAGAGTTGGAATAAATATGCTTTGAATAAGATGTCTCTTTGTGCTGATTGGGATTGTCTTATGCTGTAAGAGGGGGGCTAGCTGTCCCAATACTTGGTTTGCTTTACTGCATCTAATGTTAATTTCTTTATCCAATTTTCCATCTTCGGTAAATGTAGTTGGTAGTAAGTGATCAATTCCTCAACCTCTGTGGTCAGAGGCAGTAAATGGATAAAAGCATACATTTAAAGGATATATGATGCTCCTGTGCAGTCTCTTGTTTTGCTCAACCCCCCCCCCCCCTCCCCCCACAAATCCTTTTCCTTAACTGATCTTCAGCATGTGTTGTTTACAGGGTACCAACAACAATAAGATGTGGAGTGCAATTTTAAGCTGTTGATAAATTATGTGATACACAACAGATGAAACTAAAACAGATGTGCAGGTTACCAATTTGTAAACTATTCTGAAGTAAAAACAGAAAACAATAAAAAATTATTGAGAAAACACAGAAAACAATCAAACTTATATGGGGAAACACAGAAAACAAAAATATGTGAGTAAACACAGAAAATAATCAAAAATCTATGGGTAATCACAGAAAAAAAAAAATTGATGTGTTAACACAGAAAACAATAAAAAAGCTATGGGTTAACAGAAAACAATCACAAATCTATGCGGAAACACTGAAAACGATGACTACATTATTGCTTATCTAAAATAGTCCATATTAATAATAAAAAAAATTAGATTACAGAACTTAGAAAAATTACTTTCTTCTCACTTTCGCATTTGCATCCTTGAAATTGAAACTGACTGTCATGTCTGATCCTGTTATGTCCACTCCAAGATTTACTAGTCCTTCCTCATTCTTGCTGTCCATAAATAGTTGTTAATGCTGTTTTAAAACTGAAATGGACTGCACTGTAGACATGATTAATTTTGTTGTTGTTGAAGCCAACATCATGCAGAGAGAATAACATGTACTAACTTATTTCTCTATAGACAACATATAACTTTTAAAATGGATGCATTCTTCACTTAAGCTGCTGTGTATGTCACAATTGTAAATGGTTCAAGTTTACCTCTTCATTTCTGTATGTTTTATGTGTCTTCTTCTTTATGTCCTCTTTTACCACTTTGGGTATCGAAGGAGATATAAGGTCCTGCTTCATGCTCTTCTGGCTGTTTTGGCCATAGGCACATGATAATGCTGTAGTGTTTCTGTGATGTTATCTTCCAATCTTGTTGTTTACCTCTTTCTCTACATCCATTTCCTCTTTTGGTATATGCCTTGTATGGTATGGCCTCAGAAGGCACTCTCCAAGTGAGCAATGAGCAAACCATTTGCTTTGTATGTAATTTAGAATTGGTTCTGTGCCGACTTAATCTCGTATGACCTAATTCATGATTTTATCTCTTCTGGTCACTTCTGCAGTCTTTCTCAGACACCTCATTTCCATGGTTACTAATTTTCTTTTTACGTTTTGTTGTGAGTGACCACGTCTGGCACTGGTATCATAGCGTGGGAATAATATACTTTGTATGAGATGACTTTGGGGGGGGGGGGGGGGGGGAATAGCCTTATGCTGTAAAAAGGGCGCGAGTGGGGGCTAGCTGTTCCAATACTTGGTCAACTTTACTGCATCTAATGTCAATTTCTTCGTCCAATTTGCCATCTTTGGTGAATGTTGTTCCAAGATATTTAAACTCAGATGCCTGTTTAATGTATGTATGTCTATCAGTCTCTGTTAATTGATTGTTTCAATAGCCTTAGCAGTGTCTCAGAAATGAACATTTCCAAATATTATGTTCATATTATATCAGCGACAAGAGCCAGCTATGGCCAGACTCTGCCTCCAAGTGGAGGCTCTGGAAGGAGGCAGCATCCACTACAGTCTAACTGAGAGAGTAAGGACTGAAGAACTAAGGCAAACATACTCACAAAAGCTGCAGTTGGTTGTGTTAGCTAAAGAGTACACATTTTTACTGCATAGCTCCTCATTCTTTGAAAGATATGGGAGGGAAAGGGCAGATATATATTTGCATTAATTACTGATATGATGATATGTTTGTTTCTTATCTGCATTTGTTTATTATCCAAGGTTCAGCCAGCCACACTGCATGCATTAAATGTATTGAGATGCAGTTCTGCACCACACAAGCAGGCATGTGCAGCACAGTTGTTCTCATCAATGTTTGTTCGCAAATTTTCTGTTGGTGAGTGTTTTGGTTTTAGCACCACTTGTTATGAAGTGTAGAGGAAAGTTAGACCTTGTTATCTTATTTTGCTTGTCACAAATGAAATAGATCGTATTTTTGCTGAAGTTACAAAATGGGCATATCAATTGAGTAAATAATATATAACAAATAGTAGAAGCAATTTAAACAATATCCTGTTCCATCTATCTGCGTTATAATTGGTATACAAATGCACATACACACAAAAATACCAGGGGATCTGGCCGATGCTCAACACTCAAGGGAAAGGCGAGGCTGATATACAATCAGGCAGTTACGGGTGTTATTGGAACTCTTTGCTTGCTGCTAAAGATGGGGACGGAGTGCTTTTGGGAGTGTCATATGAGATTTTACATAGAACACCTGCCAGAAAGAGGTGATTAAATGGTGTAGCTGAAACCTGCACCAAAAAAAAAGAACAAATCTATCACCCGAGCCACACATGAAGCGCAAGATAAATACAGAAAACCACGACACTGGGCTAAAACCTAGTACCATGAAGTCAACAACAACAAAAAAGAAGAAGAAGGATATTTATGCTCGGTAATTACTTTTGGTTATTAGATATTGAATACGTTATGTATTGTAACTTGAGAGTTATAAGGATTTTCTGGCTTTTGAAGATCGAGACAGGATGGGTTTGAAGACAGTGGTTGAGGTTTCTGAGGAAATTTCATTTGACAGGAATCAGTTTCATATTTGTGCTAGGAAACTCTGGAGTAAGAGAGAAGGAACACGAGGGTTAACTTGCTGGCAGGACTACTGGAGGCACACAAAAAGCAAAGGACTGGGCTGATGTTCTCAGTGCTCTCAAGGAGATAGGATGAGTGATTCAAGGGACAATGGTGAATCAGCTACAAAAACAAGAAATTCTTGTCAGAAGAGGTGTTTTCAGACATGAACACTGAACAGGTAGCCAAAGAAGAATAGTAAACCTATTTAGGACTGGTGCTATCCACATGCTGAGGAAGATGCTGAAGATGGGATCTGAGCATTTATGAACTTTGTCCAATGTGCAGTGAGGATGATCGGTCGATTAACTAACTTCTGTAAGGCTGTTCTTATGCCCAGTACACCTGAAGAAGTGGAAAGGGGTCCTTTACTTTACATATCAATGTACACACATATGTCTTTTCATTGTATTTGTGCATACATTCTACTTTATAGGGTGCCCATCATTGTCAGTAGTCAGAGTTCAGCATCCAGCACCTGATTTCAAAGGGCAAGCTGTTGTAAATGGACAGTTCAAGGAAATACAACTTTCAGACTACAAGGGCAAATATTTAGTTCTTTACTTTTACCCTCTTGATTTGTGAGTACCTCCTTGATGTGTTTAATATAGAGAGCTACTGTATTTTTCCATGTTTACGACAGTGCGCTTTACAAAATTGTTTAAGTTTAAAATCTTTTACATAAAGTGTGTTTAAAATATATATTTTTAACTTTTGTGTTTAACAAAATAAGGGCCGTCTTATACATGGAACCAGATTTATTTCTTTTTTCGCTGCATGCATATATTAATTATTGTTGACCAGTATCCTGATGTAATTCATTTGGAGTATGGTTTGGGCCTGCTCATATTATCAAACAGACAAATAGAGAAGATGGAACGCATGTAAAATGAAGCCATACGAGTAATTTTGGGATGTACATGGGAGATGGCGATCGTATGCATGTGGCACATTCAGTGGCAAGCATTGCCGTTTGTATTTCAAAGATACAAGGTGTTACAGGCCAAAATGTACCTTAAAGTTGCAACAGACAGGGAACACCTTCTACATAGCAAGGGTCATCGGCCGGACAGACGTAGTTCTTGGATGGCACAGGTGGAAATCACGGTCAGATCTTTTTGCGCTACTGACAAGATATCCCATGGTGAGGAATGTGTTACAGTGCCACCCACCAAAACAGACTTGCACAAAGTGATAGTTACCTTGGACAGGGTGCCAGGAATGGATAACTGGTGAAACAGAGGCATCGCTGCAAGAGCTGATAATGAGAATTCACTCCCAGGAGACATCGCTATACACAGATGGATCTGTAGGGAGAAGTAGAAAGAGTAGGTGGGGTTTTATTGCAACAATGAATGGACACTGTTTGAAAACAGAGAGCCTCACATATAACATCACAACATTGATTATGAGAATGTTGGTGGAGGCAGTAAAGGCCCAGGCATGTGGTCATTGTTATGGACTCACAGAGCATGCTTTGGAAAATAGAAATTGTTGTTCTGTTTGTAGAGTTGCTTGCATCACTTGATAAGATTCAGAGCATATCATGGATCTTCTATCCAGGATATTCGGGTGTGCGGGTGACAAGCAGGCTGATAGATTGGCTGCTGTAGCTGCTCTGGGTGAAGAGTTGATTTATGGCAAAGCGAACATGGGGAAGGCTCTCTGGGATCAAGTGGACAGTGAAAAAAGAAATTACCAAGCATTCACACATTGACAGACTAATTCAGCAGGGGTGGGTGAGAGGGGAGCAGAGGGTCTGGAAGAATTCAACACTAAAGGGAAGACACAGGTGGACTTCTAATCAGGTTGCAGTTGATACTGTTAGCATATTGACTTCTTCACTAGCTACTGAGGAAGAAGGTGGAACACGTGTGGGAATGTCCTATGTGCAGGGATGTCAATTCTTGATTTATTCATTCATTGACATATAGTTAATGCCACAGTCTTTTGAGGATCCTTCAGATGATTATGTTGAGAATTGAAATAACATTGCTCAGGGCATTCCCGTAAGGGCTCTGTCCCCATTTTCAACAGTCAGCGAAGACTGGCTGCCTCATTCTGTAGACAACTTTAGCTTCAAAATGCAGCCAATCCTGAGCAAGTCTATAGTGATTGGTATATGTTTGTTGAGGGCCTGAACTCCATTGGGAGCTGAAAGGTAGAATAAGAGATAAGTAACATTGTTGACAGGTTGTTATATGTAGTGTGCTACTGTTAAACTGTGGAATGTTAATTAAATTAATACATGGTTATTTTGTTCTCTGCAGTACATTTGTCTGCCCAACAGAAATTGTGGCCTTTAATGAAAAAATTCAAGCATTTAGAGCTATAAATACTGAAGTCATTGGAGTCTCAACAGATTCACATTTCAGTCACTTGGCTTGGATTAATACCCCAAAAAAGGTACACATTTGAAACAATTTACATTAACCCTTTGGAGGTGACACGACCAAAATATTGGCCCGGCACAAAGTAGCCAAAAGGACAATAGGTCCGATCAGTTGGCCCTGTGTAATACAAGCCTTAAGACTAGCTGGCAGGTTTTCGTACCAGCCAATCAGATTGCTTCTCGCATTTCTTGCACATGTGGGCTGTTCACTGACGGCTTTCAAGAAAGTTTGATGTGTTCAGTAATTTTACATACATTTTTTCTGGGGTTACCTGTGCCCAACAGTGGCGAAAAGGAATGTTGTGTCATAGCAACTGAAACATATCTGTAGGCAGGAAAATGAGTAGAACCATGTGCCAGAAGTGTCTGAAGGGCCTCCAAGGGCCTTACTTCCCAAAACACCAGTTTTAGGACTTATCCAAGTTTCATCCATCAAAAAATTCACCCACATTTTTTAGGTTAGTCATGTTTGTTCCAAAGTTTAAACAAAAATGCTTGCATAAATTATGCAAATCAGAATGGTTAATTTAAATAAGTGTTGCGATTTTAGTTTGATTCATAAATATTCTGTTAGCTCATTCAATTACCCACACGAATATATATATATAGTTTTGTATATGTTAATTAAATGCTTTAGTTTTTATAATTTTGTGTGTGTATAAACTGAGAATCCTCTCCTGAAGGCTTCGTCTTTTTGGCACTAAAATTTTAAAAAAGCTTTTGTCTCCAGAGTGTTAACTCACAGGCATCTAGGCTTAAGTCATTACACAGCTTGTATTGATTAGCGAATAGGTTTTAACTCTGTCATGTCAGTTGGAAGCCATGTGTGATTCTTTTGTATTAATGCTAAGCATTGCATAATCTATTACATTCATTTTGTTTTACATTTCATCAGTACAAACTCAGGTCTGCCGGGTTTCTATGGTGATGTCATTAAGTCATTTGCCTTCCACTCTGAAGGTTGTCAGTGTGATTTCAGGTTTCTCTGTGTGGGTTTCACGACTCCATTTTGGAAAACAAAGAATAGACTCACTGCTCCACTAAAAAGCATGTTGTAGGAGGCAACTAATTAGAAGTGTTTTTTTTTTAAGAGTACATCTGCCTAAGATGCAAAAAATGAACAGTCTGCATACAGAAAAGCCAGATCTGTAAAACAAATGTACACACAAAACTCGGGTTCTGGATCAAGACCAAAGTCCAGAATGGGTGAACAACTACACAGCGCACACACAGTCATGCATTCATACACACGCACACGTATATAAAATAGAAATGTTAAATGGAATTCTCAAAGATAGTCGCCTTAAGCAATCTTAATATAGTTGAAGAATCCCAAGACAGACAATTTGTCACCAGCAGAAAGAGACAGCAGACACTTTTTACTTAATTATGAAAGGATTACCAAAAAAAAAATAGAAAATGTTATAACAACTTTATAGATTAATGGCAAAAAGACAGAGAATGTAACGAGAGAAGATTCTGGAAAATTGTTAGCATGATGCAGAAAAATGTCAGCGAATTGTATTATGCATTTTGTGAGATCTGAAGAATCAGGTATAGCGTGTTTCTTTATTGTGAGAAGTTTGTTTGACTGACTGACGTTGAACCCCACCAGGGCTAAACGAAGAGCGATAAACAGCCGGGGACACAAAGTGCTACCACTCGGATGAGAATCACAATGGCACAAGTCCTAGAAACCTTGTTCAACCCGTAGGAGCTTTAAAATAATAAAAAATTGCGACCCATTTTGGGATGAGGATTATTTCTAGAAGTATTTTTGAAATTTACCTTCTTCTTCTTTTTCTTCATCTTCTGCATTTTCTCCTCTTCCACCATTTACCTCAGCGAGGTGTTATGGGGGGGGGGGGGATGTAAGGATCGTTTGTGCACTTTTTCCAATGTCTTGTGCCAAGTTAGTGTTTATTTCTGTTGGGTTGCTCCTGATGATATTGCTCCATATTTTGCATGGTCTTTCCCTTGCTCTGTGTTCATTATATTTCTTCAGCATGGCTCTATGTGGCAGTTGGTACTAGGGCATTCTCATCAGGTGGCCAAACCATCTCATTTGTTGTTCTTTAATGAATTGTATGACTGGTTTCAGTCCTAGTCATCTAATTTCTTTTTTCCTAATTTTATCTCTTCTTGTCACATGGGCAGCTCTCCTAAGACATCTCATCTCTGTTGCTATGATCTTCTACTCATTAGTTGTAGTAAGGGTCCATGTTTGGCACTGATAGCACAATATTGGCCAAAAAAGATTTGCCTTGGTTGTCAGAGGTATCTTTCCATGCGTCAGAAACAGTGTTCATGGTCCCATAATTTGATTTGCTTTCGCACATCGTATGTTGATTTCTGTATCCGTTCTTCCATCTGAGGTGAAAAATGACCCTAGATATTTTTATTTGCTTGTTTTATTTCTGTGTTATTTACTTTAATTGATATGGTTTTTTCTTGTCTACCTATTACCATTGTCTCTGTCTTATCAATGCATATTCTCACATTATATTTATAACACTTAGTATTGACTTGGTTTATATGGTTCTGTATAACTCTCTTCTTTTTCAGCTATTAATTCTTGGTGCCTTGCAAATAACAATTTTGAGATATCATCTTTTTCTTCACTCTCTGCTTTTTTGCATATATTGTCGATGTATGTTATAAAAAGCAGGGAAGATAGCACACATTCCTGTTCTACACCTGAATTTGCTTCAAAAGGTTGCATTGTACTTGCTTTTTTTCGTATGCAACTTTTACTTGATGTATTTAATATGAAGTTTACCGATAGAATTATCTACATGCTTTATAACAAGATTTGGTTTATCATTTTTAAAAATTCATTGTAATATGAACAGGATACCATGGATTGTGTTGCAAGGAGGGAAAAAATCAGGAAGAGATTAGTGATAAAGGAGAACACGATTGCAGACAGGTTAAGCATTATGTGTCTGGGAAATCCCATGCTTCCATGCTCTAATCATGGAAGACTTCTTAACGCGGGCAGGTCTTGCTAGTCTCGCTGTTGCTGTGAACTGATTCCCACGCTTTCCTGTAGCACAGTATAACAAAGTCATCTAGAAAGGTGGGAAGTAAGTAAAGCATCCATTACCATGCCTCAAAGCACATTGGGCTAAAGATGGTGGTTTCATATTTTGATAGACTAATCAGCACTCAGAATACAAATATTTAATAATAAGTGCCTGCTCAGACTAGAGGAAATTAAATGGTGTGATAGAATCCCCGATGTGGAGCTTTGGGAGAGAACTAAGCAAATTCCATGAAGACAAGAAATGGCTTTGGATAGGACACACACTGGGAGAACAGTATAACTACAATGTCTTTGCAGTGGCAGCGACAAGAGCAAGGAAATGAACATGGCCTAAAAAACACATCAGAAGAGAGCTACAAAGTGAAGTTCAAAAGATGAGGAAGACACAGGGTGAGCTGCCTGCAATAGCAAAGGATATGATGATGAGTTTTGAGCTGGTTTGCCTATGCTCCACTGGGGGATAGAAGACAGCATACGAGATAGAAGACAGCAGATGAAGAATCAGCACTCAGTGGATTGTATGATCAAAATCATGCTTGCAATCTTGACTTGCCAGTACATTTCCTTGTACGTATTTTATGTTTGGTTTACCTGGGAGCTCAGGTGAATTGTATTATTTACCTTATTTGGGATTTAAACCTCTCACTGCTAGTCCATGCCAGCAGAGGGAGCATACTTGCCACTCTAGTTTGTATCAAAAAGTTAATGAATATATTGTATCTCCAGAAAGGTGGGCTGGAAGGACTTCACTATCCCCTGCTCTTGGATTTCAACAAAACCATATCTAGAGATTATGGTGTGCTGATAGAAGATCAAGGCATAGCTTTGAGGTAAAATCTTTTTAATATTATATTAAACTGGCACATAACTGTATAACAAGCACTTCTTCGTAAACAACATCAATGTAGCACCCAAATAATAAACTTAAAATAGATAATGTCATAGATAATACTTGGTGTCACCAACAGGAAAGATAAGGCCAACCAGAGCTGAAAGAAAGTGGGTGATATCTGTGGCAGTCGACCTCAAGGGCTTGATTTGCTGAAGAAGAATGTTATAGTTATAATTGTGTAGATTCATGTAAAACTTGTATAAATATTATACTACATCATTGTTTATTATTCTATGTATTCTGTCTGTATAGTCATATGCTATCATCTGTTATTAATTATCCTTGGTGAGAAAAGTCATTGATGTTTTGGGGTATTTTTCTGGTTATTGTAATTTTCCATTTTAGCTTGGTACTGTCTGTGACGACAATCATAGCTGTGCTTTCTTCCTGTTGAGTTAACAATCAACATAACAGTACTCTGAAATTGTCCATAACTGCTCTGTCCTAATCTTCAGTAGCCAACACAGAGTTCCAGTTCTGATAGTGCTGTTAGCAGTCTAATAGTATTTTCCTCTTGCCTTTCCCCTGAGGTTTGAGTGGTGGTAACATCCCCAGGTCATTCTGCATGGTCTTGAGGCATGGTGTCCGCCTCGAGTGCTGGAAGTTCCTGGTTCAATGCCGGTGAGGGCTGGGATCTTTTCACGTAGATTTGGAATTCTAGTGATACCCCCTGGTCTCTGGGTAGAGTGAGATTGGACGCCCGTGTATATTGTTGCGCACGTAGAAAATCTCTTGGCGGTTGGAAATCAAAAAGAGTAGCCTAACGGCGCTGCCCGGGCAAAATTTTGAGTTAAAAAATCTACCCAAAGTATTTCAGGATCCTCGCCGGTGTTACAGAGTCTGTGCACTGTGCTTAGCTTCTTCGGACTCAGAGTTGAGTTAGAAGAAGAACGGAGCACTTGTGGGTTACCACCCATGTGCCATGATGTTGATCCGTTGTTCAAACTTCAAACTCCCCGCTGCACCAGTCTATTCAGACCCTGTCAGTTTAATTGTGCCTCTGCTCAATTCACTCACTGCCAAAGGGCTTTGACAGCATCTAGCTAGTCGTGCATCAGGTTACCATCAGGGGTTGCAGATCCAGCCAGTCTATCTGCCTGTTTATTTCCCAGTACACCTGAATACCCAAAGAAAAGGATGCCAACTACCCAGGACATCTGAAGCAGTGCTTACCGTTCTGCATGGAGCATGTCAGTCTGCATTTTTCTCAAAATACTTTATATGTTAATTACAGTCACAAAATATGTGTACAGCTGGTTCTGGAGCCAGCGATAGGCTTTAGTGACGGCCACCCACCTCTATTCTCAAATGAGATGTTATCATATCATATTCCAGGCTTTTTATTTTTTTTTCACACGAAGGGTAGAGTTTATTCAATTTTGCTGTGAACCCCCATGCACTCCTTCACCTCTCAACACAGGGCCATCTGTATAAATAATCACATCACCTACTCAGCAATGGCCGTAAATATTCTTTCCTAGATAATCTCATCACCTGCTCAGGAATGGCTGTGAAAATTTTTTGGTAGATAATCACATCACCTACTCAGGAATGGCACTTGAATATTCTCCGATAGATAATCACATCATCTACTTAGGAATGGCATTTAAAAATTCTCCAGTAGATAATCACATCACCTGCTCAGGAATGGTTGTGATTATTCTCCGGTAGATAATCACATCACCTGCTCAGGAATGGTCGTGAATATTCTCCAGTAGATAATCACATCACCTGTTTAGGAATGGCACTTGAATATTCTCCGGAAGATAATCACATCACTTGCTCAGGAATGGTCGTGAATTTTCTCCGGTACATAATCACATCTGCTCAGGAATGGTTGTGACTATTCTCCGGTACATAATCACATCACCTGCTCAGGAATGGTCGTGACTATTCTCCGGTAGATAATCACATCACCTGCTCAGGAATGGTCGTGACTATTCTCCGGTAGATAATCACATCACCTGCTCAGGAATGGTCGTGACTATTCTCCGGTAGATAATCACATCACCTGCTCAGGAATGGTCGTGACTATTCTCCGGTAGATAATCACATCACTTGCTCAGGAATGGTCGTGAATTTTCTCCGGTACATAATCACATCTGCTCAGGAATGGTCGTGACTATTCTCCAGTACATAATCACATCACCTGCTCAGGAATGGTCATGACTGTTCTCCGGTAGATAATCACATCACCTGCTCAGGAATGGTCGTGACTATTCTCCGGTAGATAATCACATCACTTGCTCAGGAATGGTCGTGAATTTTCTCCGGTACATAATCACATCTGCTCAGGAATGGTCGTGACTATTCTCCAGTACATAATCACATCACCTGCTCAGGAATGGTCATGACTGTTCTCCGGTAGATAATCACATCACATGCTCAGGAATCTTCTACTTTCACATTGAAATCTATTTCACCTAGACAGTTAATTAAATTATCTTGGTTAGCTCTGACTTTTTAAATTTTATTTATTATTATCTGTACAGACATGTAAATATCTTTGAACCTCTAAGTTTTTTTTGGGATTTTGGCAAAATCAAAACTAAGTGGTATTCTTCCCCTGACTCTAGAATAAGTGTTTATGTATTTAGCCTCTGTAGGCACGGACTGCACATTTTTAGGACCAGTGCACATGTTGCACACTTTTAAAATGCCTTCACAGTTGAAAATTTGATAGACTTGTCCTAATAGGCACCTATACTACACACTTCATACTTTTAAAATACCTGGTACAGTTCCAGCTGCAGCGACTGCAGGCAGTTTGGAAGCAGACTGTTTTGTATTGATTTTAACAATAGTTTGGAGCACCAGCCATCAGAGAGCAGTGGCAACTACTGAACTTAAAAAACCAGACAGCCAAAAAAGAATTGCTAGGGTTGGTTCTGCAACATACTCTAGAGGATATACACTAGTGTTTTCAACCTGCAGCTGAAGAACAGTGTTTTTTTGCTGGAGCCGGTCATGGTTTTTTGTTAGTGTTTGTTTAGAAACCTACCCAGTCAAAAAATAGTATGTCTGATTTGAGTATTCATATTTAAATCCTCACCAGTGCAGCAGAGTTGTGCACTGTGTTCAGATTCTCCTTGTGTGGTTTATGAGAGGAGACTTGGGGATGTAAATACCTCCTTGTGAAGAAAAAATGTACTGACTTACCATTGATGAAATTACTCCTGAGGTTATTTATTCCTGAAATTATTTCTAATTTCAGTAGCTTGTTTATTGCATGTTTTTAATTTCAGGGGCTTATTGCGGAGACTGTCTGTAGTTTCTGATTCCAGGTGCTTGTTTCTTGATTCCCAAGAATGTTGATTGTTTTTGATTTCGTGGAAATATTTCTTAATTCCTGAGTTTAATTGTTTCAGTTTTGGGAGCTTGTTTCTTTATTCCTGATTTAATTTTAGTTTTGTGGGATTGTTTCTTTATTCCTAAGACTGTTAATTGTTTCTGATTTCAAGGGTGTGTTTCTTTTTCCTGAAACTGTTTATTGTTTCTCATTTCAGGGGCTTGTTTCTTTATTGCTGAGCTGAGTTTAATTGTTTCTAATTTTGGGAGCTTGTTTCCTTGGGGGTGGGGAGGGGGGGGGGGCATTTTCTTTGTTTCCGAAACTGGTAATTGTTTCTGATTACTTATGATTTGTTATCTTTATTCTTGAAGTTACCTGTTTTTGATTTCAGGGGCTTGTTTGTTTATTTTTGTTAATTGTTTGTGATTTCAGAGACTTGTTTCTTTCTTCTTGAAGTTAATGGTTTTTTATTTCAGGGGCTTCTTTCATAATTTTCAAAGTTATTTTTTCTTCTGATTTCAGGGGCTTGTTTCTAATAGACACGAATGGTATAATTCGCCATATAACCATAAATGACCTTCCAGTGGGTCGTTGTGTTGACGAGGTCATTCGAGTGGTTCAGGCTTTCCAGTTCTTCGAAGCACATGGAGAAGGTATATATATCCTATTGTTAGAAACATTCTGTAAATATTATTTGTTTTTAAACTAGTTCCACTGAGATGTGGAATGTGGGGCCTTTACACATTCTTAGCCATGACATATGGGAGAGGTGGGGTAACCAGTGTCTTTCCTCAACACCTTAGACAGTTCCCAGAAAATTATATAAATGAGTGAGTGAGCGACGTTCAACCCCACCGGGACCGCACAACAAGTGGTTGACACCCGATGAACAAATTTCCACCACACGGATGAGAATTCCCTAAGCGCAAGTCCCAGAAACTCCATTCAGCTGTTAGGCCATGTTGGCGGCCCCCAGAGGTGTAGTATCCTTTCTGGCTCTCATCAGCCCGCCCCCAAACGCATGGGTGAAAAAGTTTATTAAAACTCATTTGGAACATGAGTAAAGTCTGCTTGCCAAATGGACCACTAAATGACAACTCTCGGTTAAAAGTCTGTGGAGTGAATCGAAAACTGCTGCTGAGACTCAGGCCTTGACCAAGAGATTTACCCGCAGCTTAGACGAGTAAGATTTCCTGTGGGCAGTTTCTCGCAGTAAGATCCTACCTATGTACATCCTCTGTCAACCCTCAGTGATGTCATCACCGCGCTGAGGTACACTACGACAGCAGCAGTTCATTTGCTGGCTAGACCCTAATGTCCGACAAAGATAAATCCTACGGTACGCGAGCAAGCTCAAAATGCGACCATCATTAATCATACTGACTGGAAAAAGGTCCAGATCTCTGCATCCAGTGGCCCCACTCGCCCAAGTTTTGGGACCAAACAGAAGAAGACATGCCTGATTCTCTATTCTGTCGTGCTAAGGGTACAGTTGAAACAACGTTAAAAAAGTCAAATGTGCGACAAAGAAGAAGGTACCTATTCGTGTGCTCTCAAAAGTCCTGGACCTGCAGGCTGCTCCCCGCTGATCTCCGGAGGGTGCAGCCTGTGTCGAACGGGAAGCTTAATATGCAGTTGTGGGGTTATGCAGTGATGTGCAGATCGTGACGATTCCTTGGGTGAGCCCAGAATCAGAGCATAATGTGTCCGCTCTGCATTTATGGAAGCCTCCTTGGATGGTGGGGAATGCCAATGATCTGCCCCTGCCATCCCTTGAGGGCTGACGGTTCTACATAGGAACAAAGAAGAAGAAGAGATCTGAAGCATCTTAGAGATGAATAATTGGGGGTGAGCACTCAATGAGTTTAAATTGCTATGTTTATTCTTTGTAATTGATTAGCACCTTTCCATCTTTCTAGATGACAGTGTTATATTGCACTATGAGGAGACATGTGACTCACAGCCCACGGCAATGGCAAGGGTGATTAGCCAGACTCCCCCCCCCCCCCCCCCATCCTGGGAAAAGTCTTTCTGTAATTATAAGCATGGGATTTCAGCATCACTGTTGTCAACAATTGTGTTTCTTCTCAGTCGCTCAGCTCTCATCCTTTTGCAATCATTTATTCTTTTATTCTTATTCCCTTCTTGATGTGCCCCCTCCACACAACACAGTCCAGGGCATTTTGTTTCCCACGAGTTCACCTCATTAACTGTGTCATTCGTGTCCCGCTTGCACACATCTTTATATCATAGTAGAGGTCGGCCTTAACATGTAACTGACTCTACCCATCATTAATTCACCAGAGAGGATGTTCTTAATTTCCCTGTAAATGAATATAGTAAATACACAGCGTCTTTGATGTCATCAGTCCATATTCTTCTTGAATACCTTTTTGCTTTTATAATAAAGTAATTGACTATGCCCAGGAAAAAGACCAAAATAAAGACAAGGCAGACATCTAACCAAACTACTGCAGGTGCCATCAGCATTGCAATTCTTTGCTGGATGCTAAAGATGAGAACATATTGGAGTACCCTGAGTGCTATTCTTTTCAACTCTTTTCTGACTCATTTCGGCTTTAATATGCCAAACATATTTAATGTTACATCCATTTATAGTAATGTTTAACTATTTCCCAACAGTTTGCCCCGCCAACTGGAAGCCAAACTCTGCCACAATCAAACCAACACCAGAGGGATCAAAAAGCTATTTTGAAAAAGTTAATTAATTTAAATTGGCATGTTAACTGTAACAAAAATATACTCAAAATGTTTGTTACATAAACTGGTCATGTAAACATTATTTTAATGTAATGATCATCTGATGTGAACAGAGTTAATGTATCAGCTGTGTTCATTTATGTATTATCTAATAAGATTCAGTTACATAGGCATTGTTTATGTGAAAGAGTCAGTTACATAGGCATTGATATGTGATAGAATCAGTTACATAGGCATTGATATGTGATAAAGTCAGTTACATAGGCATTGATATGTGATAGAGTCGTTTACATAGACATTGATATGTGATAGAGTCAGTTACATAGGCATTGATATGTGAAAGAGTCAGTTACATAGGCATTGATATGTGATAGAGTCAGTTACATAGGCATTGATATGTGATAGAGTCAGTTACATAGGCATTGATATGTGATAGAGTTATATAGGCATTGATATGTGATAGAGTCAGTTACATAGGCATTGATATGTGATAAAGTCAGTTACATAGACATTGATATGTGATAGAGTCGGTTACATAGTCATTTATATGTGATAGAGTTAATAGGTATTGATATGTGATAGAGTCAGTTGCATAGGCATTGATATGTGATAAAGTCAGTTACATAGGCATTGATCTGTGGTAGAGTCGGTTACATAGTCATTGATATGTGATAGAGTTACATAGGCATTGATGTGTGATAGAGTCAGTTGCATAGGCATTGATATGTGATAGAGTCAGTTACATAGGCATTGATATGTGATATAGAGTCAGTTACATAGGCATTGATATGGGATAGAGTCAGTTACATAGGCATTGATATGTGATAGAGTCAGTTACATAGGCATTGATATGTGATAGAGTCAGTTACATAGGCATTGATTATGTGGTGGTTACACAGGCATTGTTTATGTGATAAGAGTCAGTTACATAGGCATTGTTTATGTGATAGAGTCAGTTACATAGGCATTGATATGTGATAGAGTTAGTTGTATAGGCATTGATGTGTGAGAGCCAGTTAACACAGGCATTGGTATCTCATAGAGACTGTTAAGAAATAACACTATTAATTGTTTTCCTATTTTGTCATAGATGTAGCACTGACATATATAATCAGAAATGATATCAATAATTTTTGCCCATTTTATCGTAGATGTAACACTGATGTATACTGACATATATAATTAGAAGGAACACTGGTAATTGTTTTTCTGTTTGCCCATAAATGTAACACTGACATATGAGTAACACTGATGTATCATCTAGTTTGTCTTAGATGACATATATAACCAGTTTCATCAGAATTATTTTATAAGTGGTTTAGGACTTAGGTTCCGGCTTCAAAATATAATAATACATGCTTTAGTGGCTGTTATAACTGATGTGATATCAGAATTGGCTAATAAATAACATCCTGTTCCAAAAGCTGAGGTATTTTTACCATGTTAAATGTCATGTTGGCCTGGAGAAAACAGTGATGGAGCATGCAGTTTCCAGAAAATGAAGCAGAGGCAGACCTCCATAAATATGGATTGAAGACATTGAAGATGCATTGGCTATATAAGCATAGAGGGCTGGAAAAAGAGGAGATGTTTGGGCGTGCCGTGACAAGAGCGACATTCTGTAAAGGACCTGCTGATTAATGATGATGATGTGATATTGACTATATCACTAAGCAAGTGCTGATTGATGATGATGTGATATTGACTACATCACTCAGCAAATGCTGATTGATGCCGATGATATGATATTGACTACATCACCCAGCCAGTGCTGATTGATGTCGATATGATATTGACTACATCACCCAGTAAATGCTGATTGATGTTGATATGATATTGACTACATCACCCAGTAAATGCTGATTGATGATGATGTGATATTGACTACATCACCCAGCCAGTGCTGATTGATGATGATGTGATATTGACTACATCACTCAGCAAATGCTGATTGATGCCGATGATATGATATTGACTACATCACCCAGCCAGTGCTGATTGATGTCGATAATATGATATTGACTACATCACCCAGTAAATGCTGATTGAGAATGATGTGATATTGACTACATCACCCAGCCAGTGCTGATTGATGATGATGTGATATTGACTTCATCACTCAGCAAATGCTGATTTATGTCGATGATATGATATTGACTACTTCACCCAGTAAATGCTGATTAGGTAAAACAGTTTAAGGCTAGGATGGTGTGCTCAGTATCAAACACTTTTATCAATTATAATTGAACCAAACAGAACCTTCATGCTTAACAGACCCCAGAACGTGTCAGCGGCAGACGTGTCCTGTCCTGGAGCAACTGTGAAACATGAGGCCACACTTAGTAAACCTGAGAGCTAATCTTTTGGTAAACCCATGAGACTTGAAGCTGACATCCCAATTCATATGCTCAAGGTGAATTTAAGGGTCTGTTTTTTTCCTACTACACTATTCACCATGGAATATATGCTACTGTGTTTTGAAAACTTGGCTTCTTGGAATACTGTCCACCACTGTCTGACAGTTATGTTATTTACACATTCATTAAGGAGTGGCCAGCTGAGTGGTTAAGGGCGTGGGCTATCATTTTGGATTCAAGTCCTTGATAAAGTGATGGATTGGTTTCTATCTGTGGTAAAATTAAAATCCTAACTTACATGTGAAATAACAGCATTAGCCTTGCAGCCTTAAATCCTCAGGCTCAAGACCCTCTTGTCCTACATCGCCAAAAAGGTGTTGAATAAAGGTGATAAAGATAGTTTTATTTAAAAAAAAACATTTTTTTGCTGTTATCTTATTCATTACTCCTACCAGTAGTTTGGGATAGTAAACATACTGTGTTACCTTTATGGTTTAGTGAATAAATAGGTTGATGTGATTCTTGATATTTGTCTCATGTGTTAAAATTAACAGAGCTTATTGTGTGCATTGAAAATAGGGGGGAATAGGCAGTTTAGAGCTTCAGGGTTGTTAAAACACTGGGAAAATTAAAAAAACAGGCAAAACATCTTGACATTTGGTCATTGTCATGTGAGTTAGCCACAATGCCACTCATTGGAAAACTGAGGATAAAGCTGAAGAAGGAGGCTTAAAAAAATACCAAGATTTGGCCATTCTTGAATGGTTTCAAAAAATGGGTTTAAAAAAAAAAACAGGTAAAGGTAAAACGGTAGATGTGAACCAGTGTCTTTGCACACGGTTATAAACCATAAATGCTCTGCCACCAGTAAGGAGAGCTGATAAGAAATGCTATTTAAAAAAAATTAGCAGTTAGTTGAACAATGGCAAATGCTAAAAGAATTATTACACCAGAAAGCAAAAGAAACATTACCAGAAGTAAAGACAGCAAACAAAAAATGGATGACAGAGGGCATTTTACATCTGATGGAAAAAAAAAAAAAATTTCAACGACTAAGGTGAGTATAAAAATACATGGAGATATTTATGTAATTGTAATTCAGCGAAAGAAGTTTGGCTAAATAATTAGTGCGAAGAAAATTAAGAACAAAGAGAACACACAAGGCATATATAAAAGAATACAAGAACTATCAGGTTTTAGCAAATATAAAGCAAGCAGTTGCTTGAAAAAAGGAAGGTGACATATAAATGGACAAAGAAAAGGTAATTTAAAGACAGACAGAGTATAAAAAAAGTGCTGTACGATGAAAACAGCAGACCAGACATAGTCAGGAGTATTGGAAAGGCCAACACTGATAACGGAAGTGGAAGATAATATAAACCACATGAAGAAATGTAAATCTCCAGGGCCAGATAACATCACAGTTGAAGAATTAAAAGCTGCTGGTGAACTGAGTTCAGAAGTTTTGACAAAATTGTTTATTGAAATTTATAATAGTGGACACATACCTGATGACCTTTTGAAATCTCTTTTTATACCTTTACCAAAAACACGCGGTGCAGTGGAATGTGGAAAACATCAAACAATTATTTTTATGAGTCACGTAACTAAAATATTAATGAGAATTATAAGAAGAATGAGGTGCAAAGTTAAACCAGAAATTGGAGAAGAGCAGTGGGGTTTTGTTGAAGGTAAAGGCATAAATAATGCCATATTTATCTTGAGAACACATTCAGAAAGAATGATTGAAATGAACAGAGATCTGTGCTTGTGCTTGATTGATTACACTAAAGCATTTGATTAAGTGAAACATTAAGAAATTATTAAAATTGTGGAAATCTTAAATATTGATCGTAAAGATATGAAAATAATAAACAACTTATACTGCCAACAAGAAGCAGCCGTAAGGACTGACAACTAAGTTGGAAATTTTTCAAAACATTAAACAAGACGTTACACAGGGATGTGTACTATCAATCTATCTATTCAGTTTGTACAGTGAAAATGAAACAACTGCAAGAAATAATGGATATAATTGTAATAAAAAGTGAAAGTAAGGGTCTTAGTTTGAACAATAGAAAATCATAAGTACTGTTATTTACAAAGAAAACATCAATGTAAATGGGACAAGCCTCAAGCAAGTTGAAATGTTTAAGTACTTTGGTACCCTGATAACATCAAATGAAAAATGTATTAAAGAAGTTAAATGTAGAATAGCTCAAGCAAAGTCAGAATTTTACAAAATTAATATTTTGTGTAATCTTTCTTTGTCAGCTGAGACGAGAATTCTTAAAAGCCAAATAAATCGTATCCTAATATATGGAAGTGAATCATGGGCAATTGATCGATAAGTGAAAAATTAATTGGAAGCTGTGGAGATGTGATTTTATAGACGGTGATGAGAATACCCTAGATAGATCACAAGAGTAATGAGGATGTCTTGATAGAACTGACTCATGAAGAGAACTGATTACCCACATCAGAAAAAGACAATCTATATTTTTTGGTCATGTTATGAGGAGAAAACTGGAGTAAATCATGAGAGTAGGAAAGTTGGAGGGGAGGAGAGGCAGAGGAGACTGAGAGAAAAGATGCTGGACAGTTTGACTATGGCATGGAGGATCGTCTGTGTCAGAGTTGATTGAAAGTAC